CATATCTCCCGCACCCTTATAGCTATCGAGACGCAACCCCCCTGGTGCACGAATTGAGACTTGGGGCTACTACCACATACAAACACCATTCATGTGCAATGTGTAGTTTTGGCGAAAAAGTGAAATATATGGACATACATGTTCATTTTTATATATCTATATCTATATATAATATATATCTGTCTATATCTATTATATATCTATATATATATAAAATAGATAGGTTTAGATATGCATAGTTTTAACCTGGGTATAAGGGTTTTAAATATGCACCATATAGGATTTAAGTGGATACTGGTTTATACAGGTATTGATTGTATTTAGGTTTATATAAGTTTTATTATAGGTTTTTATGGTGTCCTTTTCTGCTCGGGAAAAGCACTTGGTTCTGCAGCAGTGGTGTCCATAAACGTCCTGCTACTGTTTTAATGTAGAGTGCATAGCACTTCATATAATACATTAAAACTGTATAGCACTCGGTACCCGCGGAACGCAAGGTCATCGTCTTACAGGTTGTAAGAGCATAGAACTATAAACTACTGGCGTGACATTTATATGTATGGTGCATAAGGTCTAGTAGAGGGTGGTTTGCATAGAAGTCGGTAGGATTTTCTGGTACTCTCAGGTAGAAACAGAAAAGAGTGATAGTAACACCACCTGGGACGGAATGGTTATTCTTAATTACCTCTCTTGAACAAGATGTTGAAGTTCAGAAAATGGATCTGTGTAAAACTATTTTCTTCTACTTTAAGGAACAATTTATCCTTTTTGTTCTTGTTAACCATAATAACCAAGTTCTTCTACACTAGCAATGGGCGATGAATACATTGAAATAAGCAAATTAATATACGGTTATATTAATGCAAAAGAATCAAAAAAGCATAATTACACACACACACGGACATATATATATATAAGTTGACGTGTATGTCCCTATATTTCACTTTTCCGCAAAAACTACACATCGCACGTGAATGGTGTTTGTATGTGGTGGGTAGTGGTAGCCCCAAGTCTCCATTCGTGCATAGGGGTGGTTGCGTCTCGATAGCTATAAGGGTGCGGGAGATATGAGGCTGAAAGTGGTTGAAAGTGGCTTTCAACCACTTTCAACCATCTATTTCGAATGTTTTGTTCGAATTTGTTCGAATTAAATTCAAACATAAAATTCGAATATTGGCTCGATTATAGAACGATTGTAAACGTTCCAGAAACGTTGAAAATAGTTCGTTTGACTAAACGTAAAAATTCTCTAATTAGTCTGGAAACGGGGGACCTAATTCTTGCATTCTGTGAAAACGGGTAAGATTGGCTATAATGTAATTATCTTAATCTTCACTATCGTTACTTTTTGCCCACAAATAAAAACCCAGCGAAGCGGGATCTTGCAGCTAGTTATAACATAAAATGACGGTATGAATAAATTAGGGGTTTTGTTTTATAAGATTGTTTTGAGAAAACAACATATTACAAAATTTTAATTATTAATCTGAATAATTAATATTACATACCAGAAAAATATACTAGAGAAAACACCAACTGTATCGAATGTGTTACTTTTCTCCTTCCTTTCCATTCTCATCTACACTTTTCTATACACTTTTCATATGTAGTATTACCAATCAATCCTACACATCTATTAAATAACATTTATTATAATACTCTCTTATCCATCGCGCATTGCTGCGATCTCAGAAGAAACGAAATCCAAGCAAACTCGTTATAATAAAATTAAATTTACGTTTTATCATTTTTGTTAAAACTTATTATTATTATTCATTTTCATCGGGAAAACATTTCAAAGTGTCGTTTCAATTTTATTTATTTATTGNGGGATCTTGCAGCTAGTTATAACATAAAATGACGGTATGAATAAATTAGGGGTTTTGTTTTATAAGATTGTTTTGAGAAAACAACATATTACAAAATTTTAATTATTAATCTGAATAATTAATATTACATACCAGAAAAATATACTAGAGAAAACACCAACTGTATCGAATGTGTTACTTTTCTCCTTCCTTTCCATTCTCATCTACACTTTTCTATACACTTTTCATATGTAGTATTACCAATCAATCCTACACATCTATTAAATAACATTTATTATAATACTCTCTTATCCATCGCGCATTGCTGCGATCTCAGAAGAAACGAAATCCAAGCAAACTCGTTATAATAAAATTAAATTTACGTTTTATCATTTTTGTTA